ACTGTATAAGTGAGTTTGAAGAGTTATTTACATAATGATGAAAATTCATGCTAAATAATAGAGTTGAAAGTTGAATTGTCATAGTGACGACGTCATAGTCCTAACTGCCAGTTCACCTGATGAAGGGACCTGGAATGGTCTCGAAACGTCGTGAGAGAAATTACAAAGAAGTTTAATCCATAAAAATATCTTGGACATACTGAAGATGTTCACCACTCAGGAAGAACAGAGCAGAACAAAGAAAGGAGAAAATCCCCTGAAGAATTCAAATCCCAATCAGCAGATTATGGCAAGAACTTGTACACCTATGATTTCAGAAACATAACATTTCTTCAGAGAAAAAAATGTTTCAACAGAATTCAGATTTAAAAGAAATTGTGTCTCTTATATTAGAAAGGCAACAACCCAAAATATCTTCCAACAGGTAGGAATTGTGCACAGATCCTATATTGTAAAACAAAAGAACATGAAAATACCATTATGATAAAATATGATTATTACAATGACATGGATGAACATAACAACATTCTCCTAAGCAAGTCAACACCACAATAACATGAAGGACCGTTATGTAGAGCATTTACACAACAAAATGAACAGTTGAAATAAAAGGACTTCATCCCGACTCCACATACAACACACAGTGTCCTTCAGTGTGATGATTTCCCCAAGCTGGCATCGAAACAGATGTAGACCCACATTCCTCATGTGTAAATTAGTCCTGATATGTTACATTGTTTAATACCTGCTGCTGGTGACACACTGTCACCCAGGTCATACATCATCACTGCTCCTTCTAGTCACCCTGGCAACTAGTCTTGACCAGAAATCCATCGGCAGACCAGCATCAAATACTGGGAACTAGTCTAATACAGAATCACAGGCAGTCAATCATTGGATTCTGGTGACCATCCACCTGGAATCCACACAGGGAGCCAGTGAGTGAGTGAGTGAGTGAGTTTAGTTTTAAGCCACTTTGACATTGTACCCATGTGGGGAATCGAACCTGGACTGTTGGCATGAGAAGTGAATGCATTAACCACTAGGCTACCCCAGAGCCTAACAAGGGCAGACAGGCAGGAGGTACTGAGGAATTATTCTGCCATGGAAGCCAAACACAGATGTCAGTTCCATTGTGAAGTATAAATGTCAATGTGAAGTATTCGTGTAATTGTAAGGCATAAATGTCATTTTGAAGTATTCATGTAACTGTAAGGCATAAATGTCATTGTGAAGTATGTGTGTCATTGTGAAGTATTTGTGTCATTGAAAGGTATAAATGCCAATGTGAAGCATTTGTGTCAATGTGAAGTATCCTTGTGAGTGAAGTATTAATTCATATCACTTTACAGCTTAACTTAGGATGGTGGTGAGCAGCACTCAATAGTATCCTCCAACAAACATACCTCCTTGTGGATCACCACATCAGCCAAAGCTGTAGCAGATCATTTTTACAGACAACTCTAATATAAACCAAGACCATTGGACATGAAATTTGGAACTTTATACACACAAACTTCATGAGTGAAGGAGTTTGGTTTTACGCCACCTTCAGCAATATTCCCGCAGCATCATGAGAGATGACCTTCACACACTGTACCTGTGTGGGGAACCTCTGGAGTGACAAGCAAGAAGAAGCAAATACTTATTATAAAATATACTGCTTGAAACAGATAAGGGAATAAACGAAAGTACCAGTGTTCCTCCATTTATTCCCAGACTGTCGCCAAATGTGCAATACAAAGCATGCAAACAAACCTGGGAAAGAATATAGGAACACTTGTACTTTCATCAGCCATCTTATTTGTTTCCATCAGTATATGTGAACTGTAGAAAAAGGGGGAATAAAACGAATAATTGAAGGGAAATATATCATATATCAACCACAGTATTACAAAAACACAATCCAGACACATCACAGTTAACCACTAACACAGTAAATATATACTTATATACCCTGTCCAGATACATAGCAACACATCACAACAGTTGGCAGGGAAACAGTCTCCTATCTTTACTGAGTATTACTAATCTTCTAATGAGAAAATTAACTCAAATTACATTCTCAACCATACGACAAACAGACTAGACATTCTAGGGACAAAAATATCAATAATGGTAAATGTGTAATAAAATTATTTATAAACATTTAAATGTTAGGTAGGACCTGGATCAGTGTCATACACATGCTAAACACCTGGAAAAAAGTTAAGCACCCCTTACTGTTAGCAAAAACAAATGTGATTTATGAAAAAATTAATGTTGTGATTTCTTAAAACATAGTCTGAAAATATATAAGTGGTGAAAAATATATGCAAAATCATGTCACCCATTATTGTGTAGTAAATACTCCACCAATATAGTTAGGCGAGTGACAAGCACCTGCTTTCTGTGGTTAAAAATAGATTCATGATGTGAACCAATACTTGAACCTGTGAAGATCCAGGTTCGAACTGGACTTCAACAATCCGTGTTTGTTGTAAGAGGTGACTAATGGGATCGGGTGATCTGGCTCACTGACTTGGTTGACACATATCATATCCCAATTGTGTAGATCGATGCTTATGCTGTTAATCACTAGATTGTCTGGTCCAGACTCAATTGTTTACAGACTGTCGTCATATAGCTGGAATATTGCTAGAATAGTACTCAGGACTCTCAAAGTAGTAAGTGAACGGGGCTTAACACAATAAACATGAGATGAAAGATATGTCCTTTGTAAATGTTTCCAAAACTTAAATAAATGGTAAGGAAATATTCAACTGCAGTAACAGTGCTTAGCTTGTTTCCAGGACAATATACTACTCAAAGCAAGTGAAGGAACACCCACCACTGGAAGGCTGTGTTGCAATATAAGGGTAATGCTATTTTTGAGGGCATTATCATTTGCAGAAGCCCGAGGTCTTCCATTAACTGCCCGACGAAGGAGGGCAGTTGATAAAGACCGAGGGCTTCTGCAAATGATAATGCCCTCAAAAATAGCATTACCGTTATTATTGCTAAAATACATGGAATTTGTGTTGAAAAGAAAAAGGAAACAATGAAGGAATTTGACTGTACGTTTACCCAAATCAACTTCTGACGGGCTTGACTGCCCGAATGCAATTACGTCATCGAACAATTCAAGTGACGTCACAACAGAAAGTGACGATATTCGACCTTGGCCTTTGACAAGACCATAGCCTGCAACATGTCAAGCTATGACAGTGTTCGGTTTTGGTCCATCAACAGTCTTAATAGTGCAATTGTTAAGGTTAGCACCAGCAAGAAAGCCAATATTATCGCTATTTAAAGCGGGAATTTGGGTTGCTTTGACTTGTTTGACCCAGAACATCTGCCAGTCGAAAGCCACTAATGTCGAACTATGACGTCACTTGACAACAGAACTGATAGTGGCCCGTCGTTAAGGTTGAGCGGTCCAATATCATTTGCAGCGGACCGCAAATTTCTGATAACAGGTGAGCCGTTTCATGATAATTCCATGTATTTTAGCTATAATACATACCAACAATGGCAGATTAACAGGTGTTCTTTTACTTGTTTTGAGCAGCATACACACAGTCTTGTTAATAAATACACACATCATGCAACACAATTACACAGGTGATGAGAAGGCAAAGAGATATCTGTGGCCAGTACAACATATGTTAATGTTGGGGATTACACTTTCTTAGTAAAGTAAAGATTCTAGCACTTTTGTTGGGTTGAGTCCCATCTGGGATTCGAACCCACACCCTCAGGGTCGGGGTGGCCAGTAACCTTCCATTATAAAGAGTATTGACACAAATAATATAATCATTCCGGTTCTGGAATCGCAGAACATTGAACAGGGACTTGATGCTGAATTGATTATATCATGCAGAAAACCAGAAGAATGTGTTATACCAGAGCAAGCTATTTTTGCAGAAATCAAACTATATTTAATGCTCATTTCTGTAATAGATACACTGAACCTGAGTTAAAGACATAGGACTAGAGTTGTTTGTAATATACTGGCTCTTACGCTTGTTAGCACTTACATTGTAACAAAGTCTTATCTTAGGTCTTATCTCTGAACAGTGTCTCAGGCCGAAGACCCGGGTTTGAATCCCCACATGGGTACAATGTGTGAAGCCCATTTCTGGTGTTCCCACCGTGATGTTGCTGGAATATTGCTAAAAGCGGCGTAAAACCAAACTCAGTCAGTCAGTCTGAACAGTGTCATCAGCATGTGTTGGTGTGTGGGCTAACACTACTTCAGACATTGTTTCAGAGTATCACTCCAAACCCCTATATCGACCTATGGTCTCGGTGAGAGAGTGAGTGGGTTAAGTTTTACGCCACTTTTGGCAATATTCAAGCAATATCATGGCGACGGACACCAGAAATGGGCTTCACACATTGTACCCATGTGGGGAATCGAACCCGGGTCTTTGGTGTGACAAGCGAACACTTTAACCTCTGCCCCTTATGGTCTCAGTACACCACAGGACAGTTTTGTCGCGTACAAATGCTAGATAACATGCCTATGAACATTCTCTTAAACAAATCAGTCTCTATCATGCAATTAGCAAAGTATTATGTTGCTGCTTGTCAAGAATAATTATTTAATTTGAGGTTTTTGTTCCTGTGTCTCAGCAAAGTTAAAATACATTAAAATACTGTGCAAGACAAAACAACGATTTAAAAAGGACATTTCCAGCAGTTTTATATTTTTATATTTAATCAGAAATCCACCCTAACAACAATTTTACATCTATTCACCTGCACTTTTACCTATAACAGTGTTTCCGCTGGCTGGAAATTGATTTTAAAATTTGCTGGACACGATGACCGACAGCCTTTGAAATTACTGGACATTCTAACTTTGTACCGGTCAAAGTCCGATATGTACCGGATAACGGAAACACTGCTACAGACATCCTGCAAACCATTCTGCATCTCTACAGATGGGAAAGGAAAACTTAAAACTTATGCAACAATCAACAAGATAAACCATCAGTATTAAGAAATCCGTGTGCAATAAAATCGGGGTTATTATTCACAAGATTTGCCTGGGATATATCACTAATGGAACAGGATAACAAGTAAATATCAGATCAGGTCTCATCCTGAACATTAATGGCTGTAACCACAACACATCTTGTTGAAAGGGCTTTTTAGTTAAACCATGTAATGAACAGGATCGAAGCTGAATTAGTGTTGCATTAGTACAGGATGTTTTCATGATGCAGAACACAAGCATTCAACATAATTCAGCTTTAGCATGACTGAAATTATTACTGGTAATAACTGACAAATGATAATTCAGAAAACAGAGTAGCTTCTATCACATGGAAGTTACATTTCAGTGTATGTGGATCTCATCATCAGGCCTGCTTGATCCCTCTCACCATCATTATCTCACCCAAAGCTCACGGAGTGCGACATCCTGGCAGATCTTGATGAAGAGAGGCAACAATTTGGAGAAAAAGATCTGATTTTAATGAGATTACTAAACCATAATAATAGATTCTGCTTATTTCCAAATTAATCTGAAACAATGTGAACTCTGCCATTAGTGAATGAGTGGTTGAATTTAGTTTTATGCCTCTTTTAACAATATTCTAGCAATATCACGGCGGGGGACACCAGAAATGGGCTTCACTCATTGCACCCATGTGGGGAATCGAACCCGGGCCTTCCATGTGACGAGCGACCGCTTTAACCACTAGGCTACCCTACCACCCCATGTCCGCCAAGAGGAAACACAATGACCTGTCAATGACATCTTTCACACAATCAACTTTTACAACAAATCCACCTAGCACCTACACATAGAAAACAATTAATGTATGATAATCTGACTAAAATGAATTATTTTTTCATGCATTTTATGAAATCAAGACACTGGATAAAAATTTGCATATATTGGCAAATTGTCATTCACATTTTCAGTTTCAATATCCTTCAGATTTTGCATAGGGTAAAATATGATTAAATGTACAACATAAATATATATGGGAATTAGAGGACTGTAAATGGTTTAAAGCCAAGCTTAATGGCCACAATTTATACTATTCTGATGAAGAATCTTGCATGAACAAATGATGAAGAATATTAGCAGATGAAATCATAAACAAGTATAAGTGAAAACAAAGAAGTATTGACGAATAGATCTTCCCTAAAATCCCCTCTCCAGTTTGTTCTGGTTGCTGTCAGAAAGAATAATGTCTCCATTTGTTCCAACCTTTCCATTGGTTGACAAATATTTTCCTGTGTTATCATTGGTTAGATTGTTGCCATTAGCTACATGATCAGACTTGTGATTGGTAACATCATCGTCAGATATTTCTTCATCGCTTGAACTTCTGCCATCTTTTTCAATCTGAAAAAAGCAAAAACAACTAAATCAGCACCTTTAATTCAAGGGAGATAACTGTGGACTACATATATTATCTCCCTTTACTCTCACTGAAAGCATGACTGTGTCTTCAAATGATAAAAAGCATCTATCATTGATGAACATCTGAACCATTTTAACCATAGCTTCAAACTTTATTGGAAGTATGTTCGGATAATTCTTTTTAATAAACATCAATGATTACACTTAGAAATCTCTGTGATAAAGCTGATTTTATAGAAATTATACAAAAATAATTTCACTTACTGAGATGCAAACAGATTATGATGTACTAGCATACCACCTAAGTATCAAAGCAACTGTGCTATCAGAAAACACATCTCAACCTTGACCTCACTAAGACAAATTCTTGAGATCCAAAGATATGCAAGCCATAGGATTGTACAAGTAAACAAGTAAGTGTACGTAAGTAAGAACCACAGTAACTGGCAAAGAATCATACACACAGTCTGAATTCTACAATGAACTTGTTAATTCTGGGTGGTCAGTTAGAGGTTTCAAATCTAATTAACAGTCTCTGACTGAAACAGCTGGTTTGACATCCAGATCATAGCTAATATTCTAAGAAAGGAACTTCTTTCTCAATCACTGTCAGTAAGCATTATAGAATCATGACAAGTCATGATAGTACGCTAAATGTTGCAGAAACTACCACATCAAAAATAAACATTACAATAAATGTGTGTAGAAAACATAATGGAAATCAACTAAGAGAGTTAAGGCTTTAAGATTTTACTGCAGCCAGCTGTGACGTCACTCTTTTGAATCACAATGAACCCCATAAAATGACGCCATAAATGTGAGATATCATGAAGAGCTAAACAATCACACACAGTGACACAAACACATGGTGTCACAATAACACATAGTGTCACACACACGTATAGTGACACATGATCACACTGTGATGCAGACATACAAAGTGACACACACGTATAGTGACACATGATCACACTGTGATGCAGACATACAAAGTGACAGACATGGTCCATCACAGCTGCATCAGTTATGCTCCATATGCAGTATCCAGCTGACAACAGGGACGTGGTCTGGTAGGTATTGTTAGTAACAGTGAAAAATAATCAGTTCAAAATTTCATGAATTCGAAGAACTTCATGGGTGTGAATGAGGAAAACCATCTCAACTAGAGGGTAAGTAACAGCTAACTACTGAACCCAACCACACTTGTGTTAGTACATTCTCTTCCCACAGAGGTTACTCCTGTCATATCTTCGAAAAAATTCCTACGTAACCTCTGTTCTAATACGGCCCTTTCATGGTGTGAGCGTTCAAGACTCGTGATTGGAGGCAATCAGATTTCGTTGTGCAATCAGCGACGTTGTTTCAAAAGTGATCATTCGCAAGGCCTCGGTAATTTCCGTATGCTTCGAGAAAACTAAACTTCTTCCCCTGCGCGATGCGCAAACGTTTCTTCTAGACAGAACTCAGTCATGTTATGGCGGATCAGTGGCGTCTCCATCGCCCTCGTTGACAACGGACAAGCTAGCCATTAAACGTCTTGTGTGTAACATCAACACAAGTCCCCGGCAGATGGGGGATATTTGTGGCCCCACATTTTCTTGTGTTAGTCAAGTTGAATCTAAGTCGATGTAACACGTGTTCTGATTGGATAGAAAGAAGGGAGATAATTCGTGTTGCGATCTTTTGCCGCTAGGGGATTTTACGAGAACCGGGGAATATGGCCATATTAGAACAGAGGTTCGTAGGAAGATATGACAAGTAACCTCTGTGGGAAGAGAATGGTGTTAGTAGGACAGGGCTACACACCATATACCTCACTTTATCCTGGGATTCTCATGCACGTGAGACTGATGCTTAATTTAGATTAAGTCGTGCAGTTTAACAACCACCAAATACAAAGACATGTCTACAAAAGACATGACTCTTGTCCTTCAGTTTGGGCTAAAAAAGCAAAATTAAAGCAATGGGTTCATGAAATCCTTGTATCGGTCATCATGGAAACAAATGATCCAACAATTGTTCAAGCACATATCAGCTGGTCTAGAACATTGGTAACTGAAACTGTGTTCCCTTAAAATACTCAGGATAAGATTATATCTGTAGGTTGTTTTTCAGATTGGCTTTCAGGAGTCCTACACATATTGTATTGACGTACCATGTGACTTTACATATACTTTATGTTTTAAACAGATACACAAACAAACAAGGCTCATCCACACGTGCAGATGATATCTGAAGACAATATACCGAGAAGCCCACCAAACTGGGTTACTTCAACATCTACGTATGTGACACCTGTGTCTCCTTGAACATGCTCACTATATGTTCTGATGAATTGGAATACTTTCAGACACGATATGAGACTGAAGTACAAAGTGTGAGGTATCACTAGTGTTGGAATCGGAAACCAAATCCAGTATCGATCACCGGAGGATTTGTGGTGAACGATTATCGATTATAATCGAAATGTATACATTTTTAATGTAATCATCAAATTTAAGGGTTTCCCCCAGGTTTTTTCTAATTAATGTTTTTTATACCTAATACTGTCATGCAATGAAATGCACGCAAGAAAGACACCGGAATTGTAAATAAACTTCTTTCGATCGATTTTCGAATATTTTCGATCATTGGAACACCACTAGGTATCACAGATACTTTGGGGGATGAATTTAATTATTAAGACTAAGCTGACAATTTCAAATCAATATCCCCAAAACTTAGGTTATAGTAATGACAAGTCTGTATGGACGACCATCTTCTTTATTGTACAATGGCGATGTTTCGGTATAGATACTTATACCATTTTCAAGCATGTCATTCCGCCTTAAGTAACCTTCTATTTTGTATAGATCAAAGCCAAAGGTTGTAAAATATTAGCCTAAGTACTGATTTTAATCAATGATATGATTGCAACTTTTAGTTTCCCTAATGGCACCCTTAAAGAGGGAGATATTAGTATTCAGCCAAGCATTCAAAGAATTGAACCTTTATCACAAGCTTAAATTACTTTTAACACCGTCCCATTGTAATTCAATATGTTCCATCTCGACTACAGATCAGTATCTCAGTATCTGGGTCAGACCCCCCGGAGAGCAGAAGGTCGTGGGTTCGATCCACGGCCGCGTCATACCAAAAGACCTTAAAATATGGTACTTGTTGGTCCCTGCATGGCGTTCGGCATTCATGGGTACAAGGACTGGTCGTCTCGGGGTCAGTATAATGTGTCTAAGTGGGGTATTCATGCTTCACTGCGGCATGGTATCTCATGCCCAGCAGGAGGTGGGTGCAGTAAGATCTGCTTGTATTAAGTGTGTTGGTCTGCAGGAGAATCATGGATTCTTGTTACAACCACCTTCATATGACAGACTCAGAACAACCTGATATAAGAAATAATTGTTTTTATCCAGAAAACAGCTAATTCATATTATCAAGATTAACTGCATGAATCATGTGAGTAGTAGTTGACCACATTTTAAAAGACTTTGTACTTTGCTGCAATGATTTTATGAGCGCTTCATTCAGTATCAGGCTGATAACATTCAGTTCCACTGCCAACATTTCGGGGGGTGAAATTGAGTTTAACGTCGCGCTGGAGAATATTTCGCTCATATAACGACGTGCATGCGTGTGTATGTGCGGCTGCTTGTACTAGCCCAGACTGAAGCTGGTTTTTGTTATAGTGCTAGCCCACTGAGATACCATGCCGCAGTGAAGCATGAATACCCCACTCAGACACATTATACTGACTCCAAGCCGACCAGTCCTTGTTGTACCCATGAATGCCGAGCGCCAGGCAGGGACCAACAAGTACCATATTTTAACGTCTTTCAGTATGTAAGGTCGGGGATCGAACCCGTGACCTTCTGCTCTCCGGGCAGACGCTCTAACCACTACACCACGGAGGCGGTCCAACATTTCAGGAAGCATCATAGTGTTGACTGAGTGATTGAGTGAGTTGTTTTAAGCCACTCTTAAGGATATTCCTGCAATATGACTGGTGCCCAAGGCCCTGTTCCACAAAATGATTGTAGCACTACGATGATCGTAAATCCCATACTCTAACATAGACTTACGGCTGTCATAGCGTTAAGGTGATCGTAACTCCCATACTTTAACACTGACTTACAACTGTCGTAGCGCTAAGATGATCGTAACTCCCATACTTTAACATAGTCTTACGGCTGTCATAGCGTTAAGGTGATCGTAACTCCCATACTTTAACATAGACTTACGACTGTCATAGCGCTAAGGTGATTGTAACTCCCATACTCTAACATAGACTTACGACTGTCGTAGCGCTAAGGTGATCGTAACTCCCATACCTTAACATAGACTTACAACTGTCGTAGGGCTAAGATGATCGTAACTTCCATACTTTAACATAGTCTTACAACCGTGGTAGCGCTACGATCTCTTTGAGGAACGGGGTCCAGCACATTTTAAGTGCTTGCTAGATTGTGGTATTATCTGTATACCACATTCTGCAATGCTACTGAAGACCTATTACAATACGTAACAGAAAATGTTGGGTTTACTGCATCATTCATTCATATTTTCACCTCATTTTCAAGTTTATTAAACAGTGAACATTAAATCACCAGGTACATGAAAATGAGAAATATGTACTGTGAAGAAAAAGGAACATCAGAACAAACAGCCCAATGGGTCCCTTATCATACAGGTTGACAAATTACAAATGAAAGAATACATGCAATATATTGAAGTAGGAGTTGTGAAACACGAATAAATATTGCAAAAATTTGCAACAGGATTGTCAGGCCAATACCCATCATTAATACCAACAACATGCACACCCTCGAGGAACAACACATCCAGTGAAACAACATGCATCTGACAATCCTATTGTTTTGGACAGGATAAAACAGGTACAGGCTACCCACATTTTTGTGACAAAAATCCATGATTTTTCAAGACAAATATTGCTTTTTCCAGACACAACAATATATGTCCCAGGGTATTTTGACACCTTTAAACATATATTACCGTGTCTGAAATAAAACAATATCTTAAATACGGCCTCCCATTTCCCTTTACAGCTGTCCGTTCACATCTCTTCATAAGATGACATGATAATCATGAAACATCAAGTGTAGCCAAAAAACCCAGATTATTCCATGAATTTTCCAAGACTGGATAATGGGGTGTGAAATGTCCAGGTTTTTCAGGTCTTGTGGGAACCTTGACGTAGATACAGAACCATGCCATGTTTTAATGTAAGTTCTTGGTAGTACCATCCATTATAGAAACTGTCCTTGTCATAACCCTCCTATAAAATCTTCATTTAGGGGTCTCCAGATTCAACACCATACTGCTAACTTGTTGGAGCCTCACTGTGGTCATCATGCTGAAGACCCGGTTTCAAGTTCCCACATTGGTACAAAGTGTGAAGCCCATTTTTGGTATAAACCACCGTGATATTGCTGGAATATTGCTAAAAGCGGTGTAAAACCATAGTCACTCACTCACTCATAGACAAACAGAGTGCGCAGGTTCAGCAATCTACCAGCAATATTCCAGCAATATCACTGCAGGGGACACCAGAAATGACCTTCATGTATTGAACCCATGTGTAAGACTACACCTCTGCCTCACTTTAACTTTGGCAAGGAGTGAATATTCTTTTATTATACCACAATCAGCAATCTACCAGCTTTATCCCTGCGTCCTGTAAATTATCTGGACCAGACAAATGTGGCTGATGTTAAAAGCAACATGTAACATTGTCACAGTACAATGGCAACCTTGCAAGTCACTGACAATGGATAGATTATTTCACGCATACTCTAGCCCAGATTCCAGAGGGGGTTATGACAAAGACCGTGGACATTAATTCTTGATATCTGAAGGTACGAGACAGAGCATACAGTACTTACATTTCCTCTTTTCAGAGCATTGTATGCCATCTTGGAGATGATGACGAACCAGAATATGTGGAGTACTTGCAACACGATTAGCAGGCCATTGTATAAGAAGTATATTGCACAGAAACCCACAATGGTTGTCGACTGGAACATTGCAGTATATATCAACCTGGAAAACCAGACAGCCTGAGTGAGCCAATGCCTAACACAAGTCCCAAGTCAAAATGTTAAGTACCGTACTTCCTCTAATAAGCACCCAGGCACTTATTTTTTCAACGGACTTCCTGACCTGGCGCTCATTAAAGGCCTGGCGCTTTTGTGCTTACTGGGTGTCATTACCGTAATTGCGAGCTGCTTATTAGAGGAAATACAGTACTTCGAAATGCACATTTGGGGTAGAGGACAAAATATTGTGGACACAAAGAATATTCTGCTTTCAGTATTTGCAAGGTTAAATACAGACATAATTTATGACTCTTCAATGTATACAATCTATTATCTTTATGCAGTAATACTTGAATGTACCTACTCATGTTTGAAGACTGATGTGTTGTGAACTGTCAACATGTACTAACTTGTATTAGGCATGACATGTGTATAATAATGTATGAATGTTTCTACCTCTTGGTTACCCAGAAGGATATGGTGCTATTATGAAAACAAACCCAATGAACCCATGAGCAAACAAGTAATATTACCCATAGCACCGACTTACCTAACTGCTCAAGCTTAGACGATCCACAATTATACAACCTTGATTGTATGACTTTTGTATAAAATGATTGTAACTAGAACTGTCACCTGTCACTGTGTACGATTATTGTATAAAATGACTGTACCTACTGATGTGACTAACAAATGTGGAATTTTTTAAAAAATACAGACGTAATCTGGCTTTTCATTAAAAACATGGAACACCTATTGTCCAATTATCACTGCTTCTGTTAATTGCCATTTAACTAGTCCAGTACATATTAGGCTTTTATTTGCAGCATTCCAGAAATATATTGCAGGGGGAAACATTCACAGACGAAGTGGGAATATCAACAGTCTGAGTATCTCAGCTTAATGAACATTCTACAGGACATACCAGAAGGAATCAAACAGCACATTATACCTTACAGGTAAACAATACTTTAGTCACAGTAGGATAAATCAATGTTGTACTTACTTATATGGGAACAGAATCATTCTTGTAATGATCCACACAAGTAGAAATAAGGCAAACACTATGTCTGTTGTTTTCTGCCATTTCAGATATTTAGCCATTTTGGCAGTCTGAAACAAAAGCATGCTCACTTTAATAAAACAGCAAATACGACAACAACATCAAATAATCAAATCTTTGAAGGGCATTTAGAAGTGGAATGCATAAGAAAAGCAAGATGAAGGTGATGAAGGAGCAAGCATACGCTCCGAAACATCGTGTTATTCACAATAAAGAAGTTGACATCCATATATCTTGCTTTTCTTAAATATCAAATAATAACAACAATAATTTGCCGAGCAACTGTCTCCAGCTTGTGATAAGTTCGTGACAGAAAGAGCAATACAAATGGTGGAATGAGTGAGTGAGTAAGCTGGGTTTTAGTCTGTCAGTATTTGTCTGTCAGTCTGTCATACATATGATGTGGAATTTATGGGTTGTGATTGCTGACCCAGAACATGTAATATTATGAGGAATTATCATATAATACACGATTTCCATCATATTCACTGGCTTTTGAATCAGTAACATGTCATCTGAGAGAAACATCGTCTCAAATCTGGTCTCCTGATTCATGGTACTGACTTCAGTTACGTCAAATATAATGTGAATAACCCAGATGTGGTAATCGCCACTTAGATATCTATTTGTTGCAATCTCTTGCCACTATTGAAGCTACCATTGTTTGATGTCTAGTGTACGCTTTTGTCTCGTTGTGTAATAAAACATTTATAGCCTATATATGAGGTCAATAACTGTTTTAATGCTCCACCCCACAAGCAATTGTGTCCAGTGACAATTAAAGTCCCTGGTCAGTAGTGCTTTCTCCTGGTCCATAAAACATAGTGACTTGACATAAATTCAGTAACTGTACCCTGCCACTGTATCGTGAATGCGACAAGGTCACGTTAACCCTACCACCCAGAGTGACTTGGTGACAGTTAGTGTATCTAGCTTTTAGCATTATTTAATCAATAGTAAGACAGGGAGCACCAGTAATGGGCTTCTACCTGCGGAGGAATTGAACCGGACCTTCTGTCTGAGGAGCAAATGCTGTAACAGGGTTTTTATGCAACGCGCAAATGTGCGTCCCGCCCAGAATGGACACAGAAACATAATTCACTGCGTCCTGAGGGATACACAATGTTATTCACTGTATCCATAACACATCTATGACTTTGCTAAGTGTTTAGTTGTTTCTATCAGAGCAGTTACATGCATCATTTCATCCATCCGCTCACATGATCAATGATTCATTCCAGGCTCTCAACAATTTATCAAATCAGTTCTCTACACTGTTTCTTCCCAGGATCCTCACATCGCATGCAAGGACCCCTAAAACTAACCATATTTGTGAGTTGAGGTAAAACCCTGTAACCATTTGACCGTCCTGCCACCGAGAGTAAACCATGACATCAATCAGGAAATCATCAATCTTTACAGTGATGTCATTGTTTTAAGAACTTTAGGCAGCTACTCGAGGTCATCTCTTCACTCATAAGGATCAATCTATGCCTGATCATATGATCATCTGATCCTCATGCTCATCTCTTATGACAAGCCAATTCTCAACCTTTTCCTCCATGGGTCCATGTACCTACTGAACAGTATAGTGTCCATGGGGGTCAAGAGTGAGTGAGTGAGTATGGTTTTACGCCGCTTTAGCAATATTCCAGCAATATCACGGCGGGGGACACCAGAAATGGGCTTCACACATTGCACCCATGTGGGGAATCGAACCCGGGTCTTCAGCGTGTCGAGCGGACACTTTAACCATTAGGCTACCCCACCCCCCCCTGGGGGTCAAGAACAGGACCAAGTGATGTCTCACCTCCAACAAGGAGTCCACAGCATCATGCAAGACGAGGATGAGTGTCCCAAATCTCACAATATTCTGTGACCATGATAGAAACATGAGGCTCAGTGTTACCAAGTGGTGGATGAACATCTCAAAGAAATCCTGGAACAGAAACACAATATTTAGTTAAGGTCAAGTGTCACGACCGTTACTAATGCTTTAGCTAAAACCTTCGTGAAAATTGATATTCCACCAAAATTGGAGGTGATGTTGAAAGACAGCATCCTTACACATGACAACAGTGCCTATCGAACCACCCACCCTCCCAAACACCCTAATTGGAGGAACATACAGCACTAAATTACTTGCAGGATAAACAGGACAAACAGGATAAACAGGAAAACAGGATAAACAGGAAACAGGATAAACAGGATAAACAGGAAACAGGATAAAGTAAACAGGAAAACAGGATAAACAGGATACAGTAAACAGGAAAACAGGATAAACAGGAAAAAACAGGAAAAAACAGGATACGGTAAACAGGAAAACAGGATAAACAGGAAAAACAGGAAAACAGGATAAACAGGATACTGTTGTTCAGTGCCACACACAGCAACATCCAACTATGACAGTAATTATGTCTGTGCCAGACATACTAGTGATTGACATTATGAGTGAGTGAGTTTGGTTTTATGCCGTTTTTAGCAATATACCAGGAATATCACGGCGGGGGACACCACAAATGGGCTTCACACATTGTGCCCATATGGGGAATCGAACGCGGGTCTTCGGCGTGAGGAGCGAACGCTTTAACCACTAGGCTACCCCCACCGACCCTGATGTTATGAACTAGGGGTGTCACGATACACCAATCTCACGATACGATACCATACGTATTCATGATTTTATGGTCACGATACGATACGTATCGCGATACATAATTTTCCACGCCTTTTCTTAGCATTACCTTACCGGCAACATACGCGCTCGCTGATTGGTCCATCAAAATAGTCTAGCCAATCACAAAAGCTGTTAGTTTCCAACCTATTTTTTAAGTAAAGCTAGCTACATCTATTTATCGGAGCGGTCTCGTATAATTTTACTATCAAGACTTTGAAGGAGATGGATATAGCATAAAAATTTGAATCGATAAAGTTTTAAAATAGGAATCGATACACGCAAGCATGTATCGCGTATCGTATCGTCAGTAAAAATGTATCGATGCATCGATACAATCGCGTATCGCGACACCCCTATTATGAACAAGGCTCGATAGAACACAGAATAACCCCAGCGCAGAGACTAGTAGGAAGACTGATATATGGTTTACTTCCCAAGAGGAAGATATGCAGTCGAAACATTGCAACCAATCGTTGTCCAGATATAAAACAGAAATGACCACAATTGTGTGATAACAATGATACTGACCAGTGACACAATCGTATTCCATACCTTTCTTTTGACATCCTTAAACTGTGTAATTAAAAGTGAGAGGTAGAAGGATGCTTCCATTGCATAGTACCAGAAGATTTCTGGGGTGATATCCTGAAAAGCAAAATGAAGACAAGTCAGACAGTGCAGACATTCCAGTTATTTGACAACTGCAGCCTAAAACAATCAAGTATGGACCAAACAATCAAGTGATCAACATTATGAGCAACAGGGCTGCTTATCAATATAGATCATAGAGATCAATAATCAATAATTCATTATCAATAAATGTCTCTGACTGACTGACTGAGTTTAGTTTTACGCCGCTTTTAGCAATATTCCAGCAATATCACGGCGGGGGACACCAGAAATGGGCTTAACACATTGTGCCCATGTGGGGAATCGAACCCGGGTCTTCGGAGTGACGAGCCAACGCTTTAACCACTAGGCTACCCCACCGACCCATCAATAAATGTCAGAAAAGTAACTTGCATGACCATGGTGAATGATGACATACCTTCATCACATGATATATAAGCACCACATGCATAAAGACAAACATTTGTGTATTGTGAGTGCAGCTGCATCATTGTGGAACTCTCTCACATTTAGCCTCAAGAAATCACCTGCACTATCTGTGTTTAAATCTGGACTGAGAACATACGTCTTCCGATGATCCCACTAACTGTCTTCACCGATGTCTGTCTTCGGTATAAATGTATGTATGCTATGATGCACTTTGAGCATGTCCCTCATTATCCTAATTATTATTATTATCATTATTATGGCATATTCCTGTGTGGAGCAGACAAACCAGTGATTGATCTCAACAATACCATTTGTTGGGGTACAATGACAATGAAATTGTGTTGGGAATTATTTAAAATCTTAGAATTGATGATTAGTTTATTACAACCGATCAATCATCGAAAATAATTGGTTAGCTTCATTTATTAAATTCTCCTGGTTATGGTTGTTAATGCACAAAAAATAGAGAAAAAAACCATGTAGTTCTTTCGGGGTTTTTTTTGTTGCAAATTGCACAAAATGCATTTAAAAATTTCACATCTTTAAAGGAACATAAATTTCCTCTGGAGTCTTTAAGATAAATTCAGTCATGACAAGGAACGAACTTGTAGTGCTTATGACATGTAACAAACAAAACCAACCATGTGAAATATATTGTTATTGCAAACAAGTGTTCCAAAATTATTTGTGTTAGATTATGAGAAAACATGATCGATTGCTTGGTCGTTTAGTCTTTGCGACCAATCTTCGATTATTTCAATTAATCGGACCACCACTACTATGAAAATTAACAAAATCAACATCTCTCACCACTAACTCACCTTGCACAACCAGCATAGGTTGGTGGGGCTTAATCTAACCTATAAGCGATGTGGACCAATATGTATGTGATTGGATCGCAGACGACAAACCCGACACTGAATAAATACTTACATGACGTGGATATCCGATCCAACACTGCATGGTATCCCATAACCAACTTTTCTGGAAAACAAACAGAAAACAAAATTATTGTGTCAGTTATCTAACTGCTGTGAGCCCCCCCAAAAAATTATCTTGAAAAGAAAAGAGTGATGTAGTAGGAAAGGATTCCTTAAATTGCTTTTGACAAAGGTATGGTCTTGTGAGTTTACAAACAAAACATAACCCATGAACAAGTTCATCAGATTTAAGTGAATGAGTGAGTTTATTTTTATGATGCTTTTAGCAATATTCCAGCAATATCACGGCAGGGGACATCAGAAATGGGCTTCACATATTGTACCCATGTAGTGAATATAACCTGGGTCTTCGGTGCGATGAGCGAACACTTTAACCACTAGGCTACCCCACTTCCCCATCAGATTTAAGACGTCCTATTTGGTCCACAGATTTAAAATATTTCCTTCTGCCCTACTTTGGCTGAATGATAACATCAACAACACAATAATGCATGAGTGTTTTAGCTCTTTATAAAGAGGAATACAGATCATCCCCAACATCCACAAAATGCAACCTTGGTCATGTGTCAGTGTGTGGGAACTGATTTTGAAAACATGTAGATTATATAAAGACTGTTTCCAGTTGCTCCTTGTCCATCTTGGAAACCTAACTTTCTAGGATCTGATTACAAAACAGCTTTCACTTTTGCTCAGAATGATTTGTTGACACTGTTGCCAAACTTCCATAATGCACAGTAGATATCACTACTAATCTGCATAGTGAAACACTTATAGGTAGACATGGTAAATACAATCTGTTATTTGTTAACACGATCAGCTGAGGAGCTGTTACAACAGTCGAACCCTAAATATCCAGGCACTTGTGTTTTCCCTAATATTGTTGACTGTCCAGAAACATAAATCTTGTTGCTTAACTCCAGGCCACAATAGTGGTAATTTGAACATAAGTAATGTGAAACTATCAGTCATTTCTTGCAGTCACTCATAATTTTGATAGACAATTTATAAATAAAAAGCCCAAAATACTCCAAAACATATCTAAAATAGATTACAAACATTGGTCAAGATATATAATCAATATTTCTTATACCCAGTTATTGTAATATCTGGATTAAATTTACACTGTGATCTCAGCCCTTGATGTTGGATGCCAGGTGATGAACTACAAAACATCGTCTAGCATGGCCGCTGTCCAGTAGGTAGGACATAATAGCATGTATTAGGCACTGTTGGTAATTGACAATCACTGATGTCTGGATAAAGGAAGCATTTTATGCACAATGTGTTTGTTTATCTTGGCTCTGGATAAGCATGGCTCCACAGAACACAGTATTGATCAGCTGAGCATGTGATACAACACAATATCGTCCCATGTCATCCCACAATAGCACACAAGCAGACAATATACTTACATCCCACAGCACTATCAATCCGTACCAAAATATGAACAGATAGAACAAAAATCTCCAACTGAAACAAAAAGGAATGTCTAAGCTACAATGGCCATAACACAAATACTGGTAAGGCATCTGGCAATCTTATAAAAACATTCATAAGGTTAGTCATGCATCTGAAACCTGTATGTAGTACAATTCTGTTTAGTGTAGTGAACACAGGCAGTAACTATGTCCATGTCCATGATATCTAGTATTTTAAACAGCAAATTAATGAAGGGCATCATTGTTGAAGACTGGCACACATATCTTGATACATGACTACCATCCTCTGTTATACACAGTAGGATATTGTATAATATACTGAGGGAAACAAATAAGGGAACACCACTTTGGGGTAGTGTTTTTTCATTTATTCTCATATTTCCTGTTTTTCTCTGACAAGCTGTATCAGAGCTGGTGATAAAAACTGGAAAATATTAGAGGAACGCTTGAATTTTTTTTTGTTCCTCAATTTGTTTCTCTCAGTATATATACTACCCATCAAAAGTTTAGACTCACTTAAAGCACTCACTATATGTTATGTATATATGTGTGGTTCCATCGAAGATGAATTTCTCCCCTAACTTGGGGAACCAACTGCAAACCTTATGCAGATGAATTGCATGAGGATCATGCATCAAATTGCTGAAAAGCATGTGCAAATATCGTACATGTGAACAGCTGCGTTTTGGTGTAAAGGTTTGTTAAGAATTCGCCAATTTTCACTGAGTTTCATCATTTATTGAACTCATGACAATAATCTTTTCATCTTTACGAATTTGTTTTACAATACATTAGTTCATGTGTAAACAGTACCTTTAAACAGTATGGACTATTTTGCAAAATCTAGTTTAGAACAGCTGACTGAAGTAAGTGGCTACATTTACAGTAGTGAGTCTAAACTATTGATGGGTAGTATATATCCTGTCTGCTTCCTTCGGTTCTCAATGCTATCAGGCTAACTCAGCTGTTTCCTGCTATGTGACATCATCCGGTAAATAATCCACACTGAACTGGACAACCCACTGCTGTCATTAGGAGCAGTAATTGACTAAAGATAATTCAATAATTGATACAAATTGCCCAGGTTTCTCATGCTGTGTTCAGTTTTTGCATGATAAATACAGACGTAACCTGGCTCTATATTAAAATCATGGTATACTTATCTCCTAATTATCACTGCTTAATTGCCACATAATTTGTCCAATACAATACTCATCAATACCATCTGGCTCAGTGTTCTCTCACTACAGCAATAAAACAGCAGAACCAGTGCAGGTCTTTACAACGGTGAGGACCATAAAGTACGAAAGTAAGAAGTATAAAAAAACCTCAAAAACAAGTTAGCAATCTGAAGTGAGCTAAAACTGATTTGATCACAAAATTTGTTTCAATGTATCTTGAACGAGTGAGTTTAGTTTTATGCCGCACTCAGCAATATTCCAGCTATATGGTGGAGGGTCTGTAAATTATAGAGTCTAGACAATCCAGTGATCAACAGCATGAGCATCAATCTACACAACTGGGATACGATGACATGTGTTAACCAAGTCAGCGAGCCTGGCCACCTGATCCTGTTAGTCCCCTCTTTTACGACAAGCGTGGGTTATGGGAGATTAATGTATCTTGAACACATATGGCTGATGTGTATACCTTCAATACAACAGGTCACAGTTACCTGAAGTTATTCAGGCATGTTCCCATCAACAAGATAAAGTTATATACTACCTGTATATCTACTTAACCGGTGTTTTTTACAGGACATGTAATTAGTTTCCCCTACTGATCAAAGTGAAACTCTACCTTCTCCTTCAAACTGGCTGTAATATATGGACCTGAATTCCCTAATGTAAGATGACTGACTGACTGACTGAGTTTGGTTTTACGCCGCTTTTAGCAATATTCCAGCAATATCACGGCGGGGGACACCAGAAATGGGCTTCACTCATTGTGCCCATGTGGGGATTCGAACCTGGGTCTTCGGCGTGACGAGCCAACGCTTTAACCACTAGACTACCCCACCGCCCCTAATGTAAGATGAGAAATATTCACCTTGATTCTGTAAATCTATAGAGAACGATGGTTCGGCCCTCCATTCGTCTTATCCGGAACCATCTTTCTACTTGCCTCACGCTCAGATCAGTCTGTTTGGATATGCTCTGAAGAAAAGAAATATCAGTTTAATGTCTCATCACATTCAAGTAACAGTAATTAAGTATTTCTTTTTGACATTTCTTATATTCAGAAATGCATGACACAAAAAATATTGTCGGATAGCTTTGATAGCTAGAAGGGTCTATGGTATTTGATAGCTAGAAGGGTCTATGGTATTTGATAGTTGTCAGGGAATAGTACATGCTCTAGAGGTACAAGACTGTTGATAGTTGTCAGGGAATAGTACATGCTCTAGATGTACAATGCTGTTGATAGTTGTCAGGAATATCACATGCTCTAGAGGTACAACACTGTTGATAGTTGTCAGGGAATAGTACATGCTCTAGAGGTACAACACTGTTGATAGTTGTCAGGAATAGTACATGCTCTAGATGTACAATGCTGTTGATAGTTGTCAGGCAATATCACATGCTCTAGAGGTACAACACTGTTGATAGTTGTCAGGGAATAGTACATGCTCTAGAGGTACAACACTGTTGATAGTTGTCAGGGAATAGTACATGCTCTAGAGGTACAACACTGTTGATAGTTGTCAGGGAATAGTACATGCTCTAGATGTACAACACTGTTGATAGTTGTCAGGGAACAGTACATGCTCTAGAGGTACAACACTGTTGATAGTTGTCAGGGAATAGTACATGCTCTAGAGGTACAACACTGTTGATAGTTGTCAGGGAACAGTACATGCTCTAGAGGTACAACACTGTTGATAGTTGTGAGGGAATAGTACATGCTCTAGATGTACAACACTGTTGATAGTTGTCAGGGAATAGTACATGCTCTAGAGGTACAACATTGTTGATAGTTGTCAGGGAATAGCACATGCTCTAGATGTACAACACTGTTGATAGTGTTGTCAGGGAACAGTACATGCTCTAGATGTACAACACTGTTGATAGTTGTCAGGGAATAGCACATGCTCTAGAGGTACAACATTGTTGATAGTTGTCAGGGAATAGCACATGCTCTAGATGTACAACACTGTTGATAGTGTTGTCAGGGAACAGTACATGCTCTAGAGGTACAACACTGTTGATAGTTGTCAGGGAATAGTACATGCTCTAGAGGTACAACACTGTTGATAGTTGTCAGGGAACAGCACATGCTCTAGAGGTACAACACTGTTGATAGTTGTCAGGGAATAGTACATGCTCTAGAGGTACAACACTGTTGATAGTTGTCAGGGAATAGTACATGCTCTAGAGGTACAACACTGTTGATAGTTGTCAGGGAATAGTACATGCTCTAGATGTACAACACTGTTGATAGTTGTCAGGGAACAGTACATGCTCTAGAGGTACAACACTGTTGATAGTTGTCTGGGAATAGCACATGCTCTAGCTGTATAACGCTGTTGATAGGTCGGGGAATAGCACATGCTCTAGCTTACTTCTATTCAAATGTGTAGGGAGAAATCATTACCTCTATTTAAATGTGTAGGGAGAAATCATTACCTCTGTTCAAATGTGTAACAAATTGTGGAAATAATTAGCTGTATTCAAATGTACAGGGAGAAATCTTTAGCTGTATTCAAATGTACAGGGAGAAATCATAAGCTGTATTCAAATGCATATTGAGAAATCATTACTGCATATTGCTGTGCATAAAGTGACCCATATATAAGGCGATGACTTTGTTTAAACCTTCAAAATCAATGCTGATATATATCCAGGGTCTATTTAAAGTGATACTGACTGAAGTGTATACACGATCCTAGTATTGGAAATAAAATGCGTGCTTGTCTTCTGTTGTTTGTTTACAGAACTCCAGCACATGGTGACATTTTTGTGTTGACAGGGTGTATCACCAAACTGGAGACAGTAATAAAATCTGGCCATTTCAACTGTTGAAGTTAGACGGAGAGAGTTCTGGAATTTAATTGCGAATTGTCTTAATAATGATAAAAGTGCATTCATATTGCGCTAAACTCCATTCACTCCAGTGCATTATTACCCCAGATAACCCACGCTGCCTGTGAGGTGCTAGAAGGTTAATAATCCAACAAATGTCACAAATGACGGTACCCAGTCTTTTCTGCTTAGTTACTAATATATTACATAAAACTAACTTTTGTTTAACTATGAGTGTATTTACTCAACAGTCTTCGATACAAGCTTATTCCAACACTTGTCAACAGAGAAAACAGCAATGGGAGCTGGGGTCAGGTTCCCTCCTTAGATCTCACGTGTTAGGTTACATGAGCAGCTGATCCGCAAATGTCACAAATGACTTTGTGGTCCATTTCGATACAGCAGTCTAATCAGATATGTGTTATGGAAATGCAGTGATGATATATATAAAATATATACGTATACATAAAACTAACTGTTATGCAGAACTATATCGGATAATTTGAGATAATCCTTCTCAGGCGTGTTTCTGGGTCTTTTTTTCACCTTGTCAGTAGGTTGGGTAACTGTAGTTTTGGTAAGGCAAATGCCAGCTTTATTTGCACAATATATGTAGTATGAACAAGGAACTGGGATACAATGAATGCTTATACACCAAAATGGTTCTTGGGACATTTATTTAAAACAAAATGTGAAGTTTAACAGTCAAACCACACCAGTTGAACAAAAAAGCAAGATCTTCTACAGCAGGAATGAAGCGAACTCCTTCAAACCAGTCTAATAGACCAATCCAGTTTCGTTTGACAGACTGGATCGGTCTATTGTAGGTGTGAAAAGCTTGACTTCTACACAGCGGTGTACAGAACTGCTATTCAATTGTATACGGAGGAATCATTACTTCCAAGTACAAGGGATTTTTTTTATCTGTATTCAAATGTTTCATGAGAAATCATTAACTGTATTCAGATGTTTCGTGAGAAATCAGTAGCTCTATTTAAATATGTAGGGAGAAATCATTAACTGTATTTACGACATATCTCAACAGATGACCAGCTGTTTTCAGATACATACGAGGAAATCATCAGTTGGAGGAGAGCTAACACATATCAGGAGACTGGCCTTCTTTTTTTAAGCATTATTATCCCCACCCTACCTATAATAGGAGTTAACAGAAAAATAAAAATACATCCTTAACTGTACTCTCACACATGCACATTCCATTATTCCAGGGAGCATTGTACAGCATAGTGTTTGACAACTGAAGTGAACTATTGGTGATATACTGTTGATTGGACGGGTTTCAGCTGACTGGGTACATGGTTCCATTAACTCTGCTTGTTGAGGACAAACGTTCAGATCAATGCAGAGTTACTCAAGCAGATACAGCCACTTACAATAGGCTGCACTGGGACGTATCTTTTATTAATATGCCTTCAGAGAGCGCTCCAATTCAGGTATTTCAGCAGAGTGATGGAACCTGTTTCCGTGAACTGAAAGGACTCTTCATGTCCTGACAACTGAACATCAGTGTGGTGACAGTCAGGCTGACAGAAAGTAGAGCATGCCTTGGATAAACATCTCCAGATTAGGAAAAGGGCAGTAGAATTCTATATTCCATGATGGTATAGAGAAACTGACACTTCTCAAAATTCCTACCCTTGCTGAAAGTAATATTTTTAATTTCAAAATCTATGTACTGGATATTGTAAAAATCAATAACAATTGTGAGTAGGAATCCATGCTTTTAATTGTCCATCCTAAGTACTGCATTCCATGATTAAGCATGCGATAACAGCTAAAACATTATTACAATGGTCAATGGAGAGGGCTCTCGGTTAATATTCTCAGCTCCCTGAGAAGTATACAACCCTAGCTGCCTCTCTGGTTCTAAAAGTGTTAAGAGGTTAACACTTATATTACCATCTTGCCCTACTGAGTACCCTTTCACTTATTTGCTTGGTTAACTGACACGTCTCATGAATCATGTCCCTTGTAGCCTGTTGGGCGATACTCAGGTCACAGTGACCTCAATGTGGAAGTTCCAACTATGACATTAAGAGTTTGATTAACAGTCTGTGTCATGAGCAGGGTATGTAATAAATACAGAACATCATACATTTGGACCTTAAGTATTGATTTGGAAGATGTCATGGTTGATGAGAACAAACTTGTTCTTGAAACTCATTGTTTCTCTCCCAACATCACATCTCTTTCAATACATAAGGTCCAAATATATATATAAGTATACATAAAATTAACAAATCTGGACAGAGTTTTAGAGCATTTTGTCCAAGAAAAAGAACCAATCCAACGCCAGATTCACTCAACTACAGGACTGCACATCCACAGTGCTTACTATTACTATACCTGAAAATGTATGTCCTGTATATATACGTAGAAACAAATAAAGGAACACAGGAACATTTAAGCGTTCCTTTATTATTTTCCAGTTTTCATCACCACAGAGCTATTCAAAGCTGGTGATGAAAACTAGAAAATATTAAAGGAACACTTGATTTTTCCTGTGTTCCTTTATTTGTTTCTCGACGTATATAAAATCTTCATAAAATTACCAAGTTTTAAGTAAGTGAGTGAGTTTTAGTTTTATGTCGCTTTTAGCAATATTCCAGCAATATCATGGCGAGGGGACACCAGAAATTACCCATGAGGGGAATCCAACCCGGGTTTTCGGCGTGACGAGCGAACACTTAAACCACTAGGCTACGCCACCACTACGCCCCACCAAATTTCAAAGCATTTTGTCCAAGAAAATGAACCAATCCAAAGCCAAAGTCAGCATCCCCAATGCTTACTATTAATGTACTAGAAACATATACCGTACTTACCAAAAATGAATTTTTGTCTGGGGTTTTATTTTGTGCAAATATTTTCTCCAGATATGGGTTGGGCGCCGCCTTTAGGGCCCTCTTATCCTTGAGGCCATAGTACCGACCTATGGGTGCTGCTACGTATCTGAAAGAAGAACATACATCATAGTTATACCATACATATCACATAGAGCTTCTTGGCACGTTACTCACTGCTGAAAAAAGTAACTGCTTACGTTTTTGTTGTTATTCCCAGGCAATGTTGATCTTGATGCATTGAACAAACACAGATCTATCTACTGGCACTCAGATGCTAAAACTGGTAATGGCTTTTGACTTTACTAGGAAACATTAGAACACAACGAATTAAATACTTGTTTTACATCACAATATCAGTCACGGTATGGCTGAAAATATAGCTGATGTGACTTAAAATCTTCTCACAATATCAACTGACAACAAGGCAATGTTCTGTTTGCTGTGGTAGTCTTACCAGGTAGGCAGGGTTGTACATTTATCTAATTTCCTGGTTTAGAAAATTACAGCTACAAAGCTCTGTAGCTCACCTGAACATAAAGTAATAGTGAGTGAGTGAGTTCGGTTTTGTGCCGCACTCAGCAATATTACAGCTATATGGGGCGGTCTGTAAATAATCAAATCTGGACCAAACAACCCAGTGATCAACATCATGAGCATCGCAATTGGGATACGATGAACGTTTTCTTGTTTCAGTGGTGTGGTGTGGTGTGGTGTGGTGTGGTGTGGTGTGGTGTGGTGTGGTGTGGTGTGGTGTGGTGTGGTGTGGCGTGGCGTGGCGTGGCGTGGCATGGCGGGGTGGGGTGGATTTGGGGTGTGATGTGTAGCCATGTGGAAAATGACACTCCATGTCACATTGGGCCTGTGATCTCTACCTGAATACACATCCCCCATTTCCCTTTACTGAATTATTGGAAGAATAATGCAAATAGTATAAATAGTTAAAATTGTTAACACGTGTATGCCTACACATGAAAACTACAGTTATTCAGTGTGGAGAAGATTTACTTGGTTTGACTACTACAGTTATTCAGTGTGGGGAAGATTTACTTGGTTTGTTGCCAATGTTAATGTGAGATTTGATTTAGCAGGCCTGTTTAAAATGTAGAACATCTGGATTTATGATGAAATAGGGTAATTAAATGTCAGTTAATCTCATTAGTATTATACTGACTAAGCAAGCACATGAACATCAACACGAGCAAAGCTATTGCTGATATGATATGAATTCAAAAGCAGATTGGCATTAATTTCACATTATCAAATTCCTCAACGCTAACTATATTTCAAGTTAACAGTCTTACAAATTAGGTCATGTTGGACATCCATCATTGACAGGTGACGACCAAAGAAAAGACTATAGTCTGTTTACAGTGAAAACGTACCGATGAATTTCACTTTAAACAAAATATAAATCAAGTTAAGTGAAATTAAGATTGCGAATCCTCATAATTTTACCTTGCCAAATGAACATTTAAATCTCAAATTTTTTGTTTAACAAACGATCATAGTTTCAAATCGCTATTGTTGGGGTGAGTGCAGTACATGGAACAGTGAAACAAAAGCATGTGCGGTACGTGATGAGCGTTAACTTAAACCAACACTACTTGTTCTCGATGTTTCATTTAAAGTGCATACCCCCTTGTAATACAAACCAATAATAGCGATTTGAAACTATGATCGTTTGTTAAACAATTTTTATCCTAAGTTGAATAAAATTCTGAGATTTGAATGTTCGATTGGCAAGGTAAAATTATCAGGATTCGCAATCTTAATTTCATTTTATTCGATTTACCTTTTTGTTTAGAGTGAAATTCATCGGTACGTTTTCACTGCAAACAGACTATAATACATATTATTTTCCACGATGCTTCAGGAGCAGATGCTACCTTCCAAAAACTAGTAACACATTCTTTGCATTCTGGGGAACATCGAACACTTAGTGTGAAATATTCTAGTTCAGATTAGGATTTCTCTAGGAATCCAAATTATGTGCCTTAGGGAGGCAAATTTGGAATTATTTATTTTCAAAATTTGGATTTTTGACAAAATTCCTGCAAGTACCCTCGACAAGCATGGGTTACTGAAGATCAATTCTAACCCAGGTCTTCACGGGTTGTGTGAACATTATTTGTTACATATCATTTTGAAAGTAAAGAGACTTTACTCATGGCAATGACTCACATCCTAAATAATTATGATTGATTTTTCTGAAATTGTCTTTTAACAAATATAAGAGTAAGAAACTTATGAAATCTCTTAATTTTCCTGAAACTGAAGAATTGCATGTGCTTTGCCAGATACTATTGCTTCTTCTTTGAGTGGCATTTTTTAAATTTGTAAGTGTGATAATGACAAATTTGTGGATAACAACTTCTTTATTTCTAGTACAGATGCTTGCTAGAAAATGGTACAAAAATCTGTACTGGAACCTTGCACTCACTAAATAAAAGAAGTTGTTGTCCATAAATTTGTCATTATTTTACTATTGTTTCAGAGTCTGTATGACTCTGAGGAACTCCTGGTGACCTCAGGTGACCTGGGCCTGTTCAAGAGAGATTTTACCGCCAGCTGTTGTTTTTGGTCTATGAGAGAGTATGGAGGTGCACATCAGGAAGATCACTTTGTGGACCAGGAACCTGGATTGTCAGCAAGCTGGTGGAGTAAGATACCATATATACCAATATTGCATGTATGAGGCAGGAGTCATCAAGCTTAACATAATCAATGGATCTGCTAGATGGATTTAGTGTAAGGCAATACAAGTCCCTGAGAGTGTGATGAATGAATTATGAAATGAATCCAAGTCAAGAATGGTTTGCCCAGTCTGAATTAATCTGGGCTCTATTTTGATTTTACTTATTATTATATAACTATATTTTACAATAACAATGTAACTTTACTTCTGGGACCTGATGTAAGCGTGAGGAAATACCAGCCTCAGTTTGGTGGACTGTCCTGGATAAACCATCAGTACAAGAAAATACACTGCTCCAGCACAACATAATAATAACTAATACGTCAAGAACATGATACAGTCAGCATGGCAAGTGAAACCAGCTTTCTCCAATAAGTATCTGGCAAAACTTATATTTCATAGAGCAGCAAGTGCTTGTTTTATGACCTGTATATGGCTAGTCCAGGGCGGGGTGCTCCAACATACCCCCCTCTACTACAGCAGCAAGTGCTTGTTTTATGACCTGTATATGGCTAGTCCAGGATTGGGTGCTCCAACATACCTCCTCTACTACAGCAGCAAGTGCTTGTTTTATGACCTGTATATGGCTAGTCCAGGGCGGGGTGCTCCAACATACCTCCCTCTACTACAGCAGCAAGTGCTTGTTTTATGACCTGTATATGGCTAGTCCAGGGCGGGGTGCTCCAACATACCTCCCTCTACTACAGCAGCAAGTGCTTGTTTTATGACCTGTATATGGCTAGTCCAGGATTGGGTGCTCCAACATACCTCCCTCTACTACAGCAGCAAGTGCTTGTTTTATGACCTGTATATGGCTAGTCCATCAACATACCCCCTCTACTACAGCAGCAAGTGCACCTGCAAGTGCTTGTTTTATGACCTGTATATGGCTAGTCCAGGGCGGGGTGCTCCAACATACCTCCCTCTACTACAGCAGCAAGTGCTTGTTTTATGACCTGTATATGGCTAGTCCAGGGTGGGGTGCTTCAACATACCCCCTCTACTACAGCAGCAAGTGCTTGTTTTATGACCTGTATATGGCTAGTCCAGGGCGGGGTGCTTCAACATACCCCCTCTACTACAGCAGCAAGTGCTTGTTTTATGACCTGTATATGGCTAGTCCAGGGCGGGGTGCTTCAACATACCCCCTCTACTACAGCAGCAAGTGCTTGTTTTATGACCTGTATATGGCTAGTCCAGGGCGGGGTGCTTCAACATACCCCCTCTACTACAGCAGCAAGTGCTTGTTTTATGACCTGTCCAGAGGCGGGGTGCTTGTTACCCCCTTACTACAGCAGCAAGTGCTTGTTTTATGACCTGTATATGGCTAGTCCAGGGCGGGCTGCTTCAACATACCCCTCTACTACAGCAGCAAGTGCTTGTTTTATGACCTGTATATGGCTAGTCCAGGGCGGGCTGCTTCAACATACCCCCTCTCTACTACAGCAGCAAGTGCTTGTTTTATAACAGCAGCAGTCTGTCATACAGACCCTGAAACACATACACCCAAAACAGCAAGTCTAGAATATGTGGCAAGTTTAGATTACCACAGTGTCTGCAAATGAGGAAAGTCTTTGGGCTCCTTTTCCCTATATTTCATGAACATACTTTAGGAATCGGTTTGCTGACCACTTCCGAGACTTGATGTTAATCTACCACAACAGCATAGGCTTGTTTCATGATCTGCACGACTACATGCCCTGTATTTCCTTAATCACTCTCAGGCATGTTTATGGGAAAATGCTTAAACACACCTGGCAAAGAAAGTTGAAAATTAGGATCTTTCCACAAATCATTTCACATATAAGAGATACCTAATGCACTGTTTAGCAATGTGATGTAAACAACTAGAATGCAAGCATTGTTACAAGTAAATCAGATTTTCAATAACACAATTCACGGAAACCCCTAAAACAGTTTTTTATTGGTGACTTCTAATATGTATGGCTAATGTTGTGTTGTGTTTTGCCAGTGTCGAAGGGTATAGGGATGACATCTACTAGTGTGATATACTCTTGTCAACATGTTGAGGGAATTAACCTGGAAACAGAAGGATGCCGGCCAGTCCCATTATGAGAATAGGGAATTTGACATTTTGAAAGTGGTCAAATGTAACATACCTGTATATTATATTTAAGAAATACAGTTCGCTCTACCACCATGTATAGTGTAATAAAACACACTTTTGCCCTGAACTATTATAGTTAAAGCACGAGGACGCTTGCGGCCGAAAGTGCTTTAACGCCATAATAGTTCAGGGAGAAAGTGTGTTTTATTACACTATACATGGTGGTAGAGCTTAACTGTATTTCTTTCTAAGATGCCAAATTTAATACTTTCTAAGGATAATTACGATTAATTTAAGGCAGAAAACAAGCGGCGGTGTCGGTGACCTAAATTAAGAATCCTTG